TCGATGCCAAGTACAATTCGAACAAGCGATGTAGATTATTTTGTGAGAACCTGCTAATACTATGTGAGTGGGGACAGTATATAAGTATATACAGGTTGTTTGGGGACCTAGTACTCTAGGTAGGTTGTGTTTGGGGACAAAATCACTTTATATGAAAAAAGTTTATACGATATAAATTTATATCATTCCGTAAATCGATACGCCAGAACATAATTATAATGTTACCTGACTTTTTAACTCTGGCTGGAAAGTCGAAATGTTAATGACGTCATTATCTATTGTTTGATGTTATTGGTTATTGTTCTTAATTATTGTTTTCCGAATTATCGGAAGTAATGTTATGCATTTTCTTTGTGTCGGGTCTTCTCTGTCTGGTGGATGTTTTTTTTGGATTGCAATGTTTATCAATGGCTTTTGTAATGATCTGTGATCCATAATAAATTAAATACAGTGCCTCGATGTCTTCTCAAGTTCTGCTGGAACGAGTTATTAGTGTATTGGCTACGGATTGTAACTGAGTTGGGTGATGGTGCGATGCAGCATGTATGTATCTGTTATCTACTCAGTAAACTGTGTAGCACAGAGTACCGGTTGGTTTTCTTGTTATTAGCAGGTCCAGGAAGGGTAGCTGTCTGTCTCCTCTATTTCGGTAGTGAATTGGATACGGGAATGGATATTATATAGGTAAGTAACGAACCGTCTAGTTTTTGTTGTCCGTAAGACGAGATGATGACATGTGACCTCAGACCACAGTCTGAAGTGTTAAGTGCTTCTTCCTCGAAGTGTATCATGAACAGATTTGCCATTACAGGCAATAAACATGAAAAGTTGTTGTTTCGAGAGGGCTTTTTCTTCCAGTTTGTGTCTGAAAGTTACTTCTTTACATACACATCTTTGTATAGATTCATTTTGAAATTAATTGCTCTCTTCCTTTGTTTGGAAGATTTTCAGTTTATTCAAATAAATATAGAGAAGTAAAAAGCCACTACCTTTCTTTCCCAAAAATAATCCTGAATATTAATGAACCAAATAAATATATACATACATAATTCAAATGAAATCGTTTGAAGAGAGATTTAAGGAGATTTTAGATGTTTAACAAATACGAGTAAGAACAAAGCGTAGTACCTCTTAATTTCGAACACAAACTTTTTTAAATACCGAGGAACTTATTATGTGAGATGATATGATGAAACTATGATTTAAAAATGATTTCAAATACAAAATATTTCGTGAAGAAAATTTTAATAAAGAACAATAACATCATTTGTTGCAACTCAAACATAATCACGGGGTCAAAAAGAGCAGGTTTGAACTTCAACATTCAAATTTAGATTATCAGTCACATAAAATTGTTAATCTACAATTTCTACAACTGGAAAAATTAGTTTCAGGATTCTATCTGAAAACTAAACTAAAATATCTCAATACAACTCGAGCAATTTTTTTCTTCAGTCACTAAACTATGTCAATAAATAAACAGGAAATAAATTGAACATGCTATAAATATCAGGCACTTTCTAGATCAATTCAACGAAATTATTAAGGAACGAGGTGTATCAAAAATATATGGAATGGAGCTTTCAAAATATCAGCTATATATCACATTTATATTAATCACATTAATTTGTACCCTGTCTAACATAAAAAAATCCAACAGCAGATTTTTGTATCGAAAGGGATTCGTTGACAGGAGATTTGAATCTTGCCACCTGTTCATCATTGAAGGAAACCCAATGTTTATTTTTGTTATCAAGTAATACTGTGGCAAAGTAGTGACCATGGGTCATAGTACCGTTGTGCTGAACAATACTATAACAGGTGTATTTGGAGCTACCAAAGCTGAGATCTTCAAGGGGGAATTCAATCAGAGCATTATTTTTTCTGTAAGTTCCATCTGGATTTGCAATATATCTGTAAAAGAATAAATTATTATATAGGAATTTTTAAATGTGTATAAATACAGTACAGTGAAAAGGATATTATATTTCGAATTTAAATAAATCTCATTCATTTGTTGTCACTCATATATAAAAGGATAAAACTAGAAAAACTTCGCTAAATATTGCGAAAGTTCAAAAATAAATTCCCGATAGATTTAAGAAATACGTGCTGTGTGCTGCAATAAATATTGACCGAAATGAAGTTTCAAAATCTGCCCGTGAAGCGATATCTAGAAAGGAAGCTGAAAAAACACCTATACAGGATAAATTTTCATCACTATTACAACATAAAACTTGGGATTTAGTTGATTTTCCAGAAGGACACAGCTTGATATCATGCAAATGGATTTTACGCCGAAAAGAATGATGAAGGAAAGTAGATTCAAGGTGCGACTAGTGGGGAAGGGATTTTTTTAATATTTTCGCCTGTTATACGGACAACAAGTTTGAGATTGTTTATAGCTACAGCAACTTTACATACATGGAACGTCAACGAAATGGATGCTATCACAGTTTTTCTCCAACCTGAACTAGAACACGAGGATATTTATATAAAGCAGCTTGAGATGTTAAAAGACAAAAATCATCCAAACACAGTATGCGAACTTCAAAAAACTTTGTATGATCTCAAGCAGTCTAGCCGATTGTGGAATATCAAATTGAATAAAAGTTTGAAAGAATTTGCATAGACTAGCTACTTAATAGTAGCTAGTCTATGGTCATAGCTGGAACAACACAATCTCAGTGCTCTCTAACTTTCAATTATAAATATTCAAATAAACCTTTACTGCAATATGTGTGCACAAAGTGTTCAAGTGTTTTCCATAAGAGATGTTTGTTAACAAATTTCAAGAAAAAAGTTGTTTTTGTGAATGAAAACAAAATAATCTGCTGTAAAGATAATAGCGCACCTGCCCAGGAGGAATAAGCCAGTTTGCTGGAAAAACTAATAAATGAAGTAGTGGAGGAAGGTGAGATGAATAAAAAATATATTAATAGGCTGACAAAAATAAAGGCAACAACCTATGGACATGGAAATTGACATGAATATCCTGTTAGAAACTCAAAAAAACACGGTTAAAGAAATGGAAGAGGAGACAAAGGAATTGCAAAAACAGATTATTGTAAAAGAACCACGAATCTCTGTAAGTACTCAAACTGGTGTCATATATTTCAATAAATCTACAACAACATATGAACAAACCAGCATCGATATACAGAAAATTAATACATGTGATCAAGGAACACAGGTCATGATGCTTCCACCTGACTCAGTTTTTCACACTTTCAAAGCAGACACAAATGAAAAGTCCAATGAATCTGAACGTAATAAAAACAAACAGAGTATAATTATCATTTCTAATTACCATGGTGAATATTTGGCTAAAAATATTGATAATTAAACCCATCAAAACTATGCAATCCAGGCTATGATAAAAACAAATGCTTGCACCGACGAATTGCTTAAAACTTCACAGGAAAATGCATACAATCTGACGTTGTCAGATATTCTACTATTATGGCCGAAGGATTTGATGTGAAAAAAATTGAATGTTTTTTTAAAAAATTTACTCATTTGTCACAATTGTCTTGACTGAACCTTATTGTTTCAATAAGGGTAAAAACAATAAGATATATGAAATTAATTTATCTTTATGAAAGGCAATTTATAATTTGCAGTCGCAATAGCGACTTTTAGGTATTGAAAATAGGCTAAATATTAAACCTACTAAAAAAAGGTGGAAAAAACAACCAACAGTGAGAAGGTAAATTCAGAGGACCTCCACATATCCGAACACAGAGAAAATTAATTCATAATAGGAGAAAATGATAAAAATGTGCCACTGCCACTTCTATCCACGACTCTCTCAGCTTGAGATTAACCCCTATGAAACCAATGCACAAAATTTTTTATACCCCAGACCATCCCAAATTCAATTCCAGCTGAAAATTTCTTGACTCTTTCATCAAACACTAAAAGTCTTCCACATCAAAACATTCAGTACCTGAGAACCAGTACAAATGAACTAGAAATATTCTTAATGGTTTACGATATAATAAATTCCTTATGCCTCACTGTGAAGATGAACTGAACGTTATTGGTTCAAATAATTATAAACTAATATTTCTCTTACTAATAATACTGAATTACCTTTTTAGTACGATGACCAGTACATCCGGATCAACTATAATCTCTTTCTTATTAACAATGGCGGCGGACGTTTTGCAGTTAGAACATGAATAATCAAAAACAAGATTTTCTCTCATGTATTCATCAATCAATAATTGAAGGTAACTTGTTGATTCACCTACAGGTAACATTAAAGTACTGTCAGTTTCGAATGATAAATTGGGTTGACGACACTTATAGCAGGTTTTACTGTTCTTCATTTGATGATAAAATGTATCCACCCAAAAAGAAGTATGCCCTTGGAGTAGGGAATACCAAGCATTCTCTTGTTCAGTCATTACTGGAGACTGGAGCAGGTCTAAAGAACAATCTTCATTTATTACTTTTGATAGAAAAATAAAGAATTCAAATGCATCTTCATGAGTATTTTTGCCGAACTGTGGAGCGATTTCAACTATCTTTTTCTTGAATTCCTCGATGAAGAAGATGTTTTGATTGGAATCAGATCCCTTCCAAATTTCTCTGAATACCTGAAACAAAAAATATTCATAAATAGTGAATAATGTTCTAGACATATTTCATAAGGTTCACTCACATCTGCCATTATATGATTAATTTTTGGAGGGTTTTTAGTCTGACACTTCAAATACAGATCAGATGTTACATACGCAGCTTTTATTATTGGTATAACTTTCAGACATTGTATCATGCAGTTCATGTAGCAGATATTTCCTACATTTCTCAAACCAGTGTACCCTTCTCCATAGATCTGAAAATATTCAAATGGTTCGATTTACTCTGCAATTGAAGAACTAAATAAAATACTCAAATCACAATAAATAAAATACTAACCACTCTTTCAGGAAGAAGAGAAGGTTTGACTGAACGAATTATCAAAGGGCGTTCAACAATTTTATTTTTTTCACTAAATCCTGAATTATCTTGATCTTTACTAATATCTTTATCTATCACAGGTTTCACTGCTTCTCGAGCACTTTGTAGTAAAGCTGCTCTCATATCGGCAATCACTTTATCTATTTCATGCCCTTCATTCACATTCAATGCTTTTTTGCTCTTGTCAAGTGTGAAAAAATCAGTGTGATTTGTGAAATCAGTGCTCGGATATTCTGTTGATAAAGAATTTTGTAAAAGGCTACTGAATGGTTCACCAGACAGTGTATCCATTGATACACAGAAATCAACTAGTGGGCTTGCTCCTGAACGACTATTGTGGTTAGAAACTTCATCATTGCCTTGGGGTGCTCCAACATCTCTCTGAACTCTAGACTCTAGATTGTGTACAGCATTGATTGAATGCATTTTCAAGTTCATTCCAACAGTAGACTCTGAATCTGGATAAGTTATGCTTTCTAGATCCAAGAGTTCATCAATTTCCGAATTGATCTGAGATAAAACAATCTGCGAATTATCAACTTCAGAAGGATACCAATCTACAAATTCTTTCAATCCTCCATTTAGTATATATGGTTCTCTTTCATACCTGCGATTGACGTCCCACTGAAAAGTGAAAAAGATAATATTCTGTAAATAAACAGTCTTACAAGTATTACTTAATTAAATTTGTGAAAACATTTTCTGGCATGTCAAGTTGGGTTATAGAAAATAATTTTTGAACAAACTTTCGTCATTTCAAATGCATTGCATGTTGAATGCATTTAAATATTCATCCTATAACTATCTCAGTTTACTTATAACAATGTTTATGATAAGACCCAATAAGATAAACGTGGACGGTAAAAAGCTTCGTTTCTGGTTTGCAAAATATCTCCAAAATGACATCTCTAGAACATCGCAGAACTTTCTCACATCCTACCTTCGATAAAAAAACTGACTAGTCTGAAGACATTTTGGAAAGTCAATGTATACATTATTCGAATTGGCTTACATTCAAGTGCTGATATTGGATGGTGAAATCAATAGATGCACTTAGTTATGAAATATGAGACGTTTTTACAAATTACTATCTCGTTAAGGTGTCCTAAGAAAAACATTAGACCAATCATAGTGGGCCCTTGTTACTTATAATCACATTTACACTAAAACAGTCATGGACATTTCTTGGCTAACTCAGACATGGGAGATCCCACATTAAATATTTAATACTTTATCAGTTACTCAGGTTTTTAGTGTCAAATAGGAATGAATATTGTGATCAACAAATCATAATTTTTTTAAAAAATTCAATCCGTAATAGTAATCTAGCTGTTACTATACGTTTACCCCCTCCTAACTATCGAACGGACAATATACTTCAACGTATTCAAAAAAACACTTCAATGTGAGATTTCCACTCGACAGCTTACAAAACCGCCACAAGTGTTTTGCTATACAATAGCATCTTCAGGCTTCACAATACTGAAGTCAGTATTGTGACGCCCGAATGCTATTATATGAAAAACAATGAGAAATAATAATAATTCTTCAAATCGTCCAGATTGTGACCCCAAAATAGAATAGAATGGTTAGGATGCTATGAATGAATAGTAAGCAGTTGGCAACTGACTTTTCAATTTAGCGGGATATTACACTTATAGCCAAAAACAGCTATTGTCCCCATACGAACAACATTTCTCAAAAGTCAAAATTAGTGCAAGATAGAGATACGAAATCGAAGAAATCGTCAGCTTACCTTTCTAGCACGTCTGACCCGTGCTAGGAAAATTAAGCTGATGATTTCTTCGATGTGTCCTTTTTTCTCAGATTTACTGAGGTTGCAATATCGTGTATTGAATTGAAACGCGAGCAAGTTGACTGTCGGGGCAAAATTTTGATCAGCTTGGAGACTCAACAAATGGATGTAACATTAATGAACTTTTCTAAAATACTATTAATTGAATCAGGCCGTGTTAGGAATCACACGTTAAAAGGTAAGACCTCATTAGTCCTTAGCTCGCACAAGTTTCGACTTCTGAGGGTTGTGGTTCGTAGGGGTGCGATAGCTGGTTAATGGAAAAAACATATTTTAAACAAACTTTTTCAAACATAACTTTAATCTTTAATTAGACAAATCATATTACATCATATCACATAATGGAAGTCCGAACTAGTATAATTCACCATGAAACATTGTCAACCATTTTCAAAGAAATATATCTTACACTTCGCATTGCCTGTAAACTTGAATTTGACCAATGTATTACAGAACTGAAAAACTACTGCTATTGAGAATAAGGGATCGATTACAGCTCTGCAAAGATGAGTGTTCACTGGGTATGTGGTTTGTGCGTCTTAAGTTCTCCGTTTTCCGACATTGAAGCCATTTTCAAGAACTGGAACGGGTTTTCATGTCCTAATACCCAGGTCTCGTCGCTGCCTTATGAAGGTCTCAATCTGATCATTCCCAAGCGAAGAATGAAGGTCCTCAGGTTCTGGTCGGGTTTTTTATGACATTGGAAAAGTGGCGGGGAGAAACGGTGTGGGAAAGAGAGTGGGGTTTAACGCGGGAACGGGCTGTGACATGCAGAAGAGTGGTATGAAATGTTGGAAAATGTGCGGCAGGCGAGACAGTAATAATTTCCAAGTAGGCGGTAATCTTTGTGAAATGTCTCGATTGTTAAGACTGGTAGGACATTTTATTTATTTATGCGAGGGGTCCTGAAAATAAAGAAAAAGCTGAATGAAGTGATGGAAAAACAACAAAAAACCTTTCAGAAGTCAAAACCAAAATCCAAGTTCTAGATGAAAAAATTAGTTTCTCCAAAATTGCACCACGGATTACAATTGCAAAAAAAAACAGTCGGTACACAAACAGAAATGGGAACTCAAGCAAATTTGATAAATGCAAATATAAAAACATTTTTACAAGAGAGTTATCATCCATTCAACTAAAAAAGTTAAATAATAATTTAAGGACAAAAAAACAAATAACTCCAGGAATTTCCTTAAGGTGCTCTCAGAGTTGGACCTGTGCGAGAGTAGCAATTCACATTGGATTTGAATCGCTGAAGATCAAATCCATTTGGAAAAAGGTTCTCAGGAAGTTTATTCCACATAAACGCAGTTCTCCAGATGAAACAGTTCTTACACAGAGAATTTCGAGCAGCCACAGTCCGTCGCTAATTTCTTTGTTGGAATCAAACGTGCCAAGTCACTTGAACACCTCCCGTGAAAGTATTTATAGAACGGAGAAAAATCTCCAACCTATCAAGATTGCACGTGATGTTCGCGTCTCCAATCAGGCGGATGGCTCTTTTCTGGATGGAATCCAGTAACTTCAGGGAGTGTTTGGGGGCAGAGCTGCATACGTGAGAACAATACTCCAAAGAAGGTCTGACGGTTTACGACTTTCTACACGATTTTTTATATCACTCATAGCAAAGCGACTGATCTATAGAATATAATTGATTTGAATGAAGAAATTCTAGAAGGTAATAAAACACTAGAAATTGTATGGATTAAGGGTCATGCTGGAATTGAGGGAAATGAAATTGTGGATAAAATGGCGAAGAAAGAAGGTGGGAACAATATTTCTAATGTCAAAATACAATACACGGATCTAACGAAAGTTTTCAGGGAACAAATGCTATATCACTGGCAAGAATTATACTCTGGATCAACTTCTGGTCAGAGATCTTTTCAAAATTATTTTCGAATATATCAAAAAAAATAAATTTTGAAAAACAATTTTACTTTTCAAGTAAGTTTGTATTCTCTGTATATCGTAGAATGAAACTAACATAATTACCAGGTAGTTTATAAGTCGCGTTCTATCACGTTCCAAACGAATGTTAATCCGTTCGTATAGTGTAATGTGAAGATATAAAGAAGGAAAGAGTAAAGAAAGAGAAATGGAAAAGAATAGAAAAAATTAAGGAATAATTAAATATACAACGAGAAGAAAAAAATGTGTATATATGTTATTTCTTAGGTAACTCATTTATCAAAGAAGAAATTTTTAAAGAAAAGATTAAAAAACAGAAATGAACACAAATATTAAATAATGAATGAAATAGTGAGAGAAAAAAAAAGAAAAACGACTTGTTAGGACTAACCGAATACTAACCATCTTGAAAATATTAAAATATTGTAGAAACTTCACATGTTAAAATAGACTGAATATTACGGGAGTTTTTTCCAACACCAAAATACGTGTTCCGATCACCAAGTGATCATCTTCAAAAGGAAGATTAAACTAAATATACTTACAATGTTATCCTTATTTATACCATAGACACCTCTTCTAGGTACCTGCGTCTTGATTGTCTTAAAATAATTTCACAATATTGCCTTATCTACTAGTCTTAACTTAATTGGACTTGAATTAATTGGAATTAATTAACTGAAACGGAACTTACAAGTTTCCAACCCAACACAAACCAGGGAAGTCAATGCGCCCCATCGTGTCAGCTATTGCATCTTCTACCTACCAAATAGCCAAACGGCTCACTAAGGAATTTGACGGCTTGCCTATTGCGGAACCAAGTTTTAGTATCAAAAACTCCTTAGAATTCATACAACGTACAAAAAACATCGTTCTGGAAGAAGGTGAGATTTTGGTTCCCTTTGATGTTAGTTCCTTATTTACTGAGGATACACTACAAAANTTGATTTCCTTTGATGTTAGTTCCTTATTTCCTAGTGTCCCAATTTCACAGACCTTACAATACCTCAGGGAATTACTAGAGAAAAATAATATCAATAAAAACGAAATTTATTAATTCGTTTCTCTCACTAATTTGTGTATGAAACAAAACCGTTTTCAGGTAGAAGGTTGTTTTTAGGAACAACAGAAGGGAACGGGGATGGGTAACCCCTAGTCCCCCTAACTGGCAAACCAGATTCGAAATGGAAACCAAAGAAAAGTCAAAGTATTTTTCTAGGATATGACTAAGGTATGTGGATGATGTTCTCGCTTTATTTGATAACAAAAAATCGAATATTGCGGACTTTGTTTTCGGTCGGTCGGTAGCCAAGCGGTTCGGCGTGGGTGCTTTGTTCACTCACTCGAATTGACTGCCGTGTTGGTCGGTGGTTCAAGCCCTAGTCTGAACGATCGATCTTCACTTGCTATCGTCCAACCCGTGTTAGGAATCACACATTAAAAGGTAAGACCTCGTTAATCCTTAGCTCGCACAAGTTTCTATTTCTGAGGGTTGTCGTTCGTAGGGGTGCGACAGCTGGTTAACGGAAAAACAGATTTCAAACAGACAGATTTTTTTTAAATAACAGATTTCCACCAATAAAATTGACGCATGTGTAAGAAAATAAATGACAACTTCCATTTCTTGGCGTTCTGATAATGAGGAGCCATTATGGAGGGCTAGAATACGATGTATTTAGAAAGGAAACAAACACGTACAGGTATATTCCTGACAGTTCACATCACTGTGGACAGCACAAACGTGCTGGGCTGAATCTTCTACTGCATGTTCTTTTGACCCACACAAATGAGAGGTTCACAAAAGAAAAACGTATAATACAGGAAATAGCAGTCAGTAACGGTTTCTCGAGGGGTATTGTAGATGATATAATAAAGAAGAAAAAGTTTAGGTTAAGAATGAACGAAATCTCGATTTTTAAAAACGACGAAAACCAAGATAAATATATCTCAGTTCCATACCACCAATACACGAAGAACTTTGGAAAGATTTTCATAGAACTAGGTATAAAGGTGGTTTTTAAAACAAGTCATACACTATAGAGCCGTTTAGGAAATCCAAAAGATAAAGTCGAGAATTCGAAAAAGTCTGGAATTCACGAAATTAACTGTAAGGACTGCGATGAAAAATATTATGGACAGACAAAAAGATCTATTATAATAAGATATAAGGAACACTTAGCACACCTAAAATATGGAAGACCAAAAAAAATCAGCAGTCGCCCATCATATTTTGCAACAAAACCATTCCATAGGCTTTAGTTCATTAAGATTAGTTAGACAAGTTAACAACAGGCATCTAGATGCCTATAAGAGTGTAGAAATAAGTAAACATAATATTATGAATAACTGACTGTTACATAAGGACACATTGCAAAATCTAAGACACTCGAGATGTAGGTACCTAGAAGAGGTATCTATGGTATAAATAAGGATAACATTATAAGTGTATTTACTTTAATCTTCCTCTTGAAGATGATCCCTTATTGATCGAAACACGTGTCGAGGTATTAAAATAACGGTTTGGGTTTGGAAAAAAAAACTCCAGTTATATTCATTACTACACCAAAGGTTCCAAACATTGCATCACAAATTAAAAATAGACTGGCAAATTGGTTATACCAACGCCATTTAAACTCATCACACATGTTGGTACACTTGTTTCACATATGTTTACAGTTTCAGCTATTTAGCATGTTCAGTTTGTTGGTGAGAGGCTTGAAAGTTTTTTGCGAGTTTGGCGATTTTCTGCTTTCGGATGGATCACAGATTTTGCATAAAATTTTGTGTACAAAATGTAATTAAGTGCTCAAAAATATTTGAAATGTTTACAAATGGTACAAGCTTTTCACAGAAGGTCAAGATGTGAATGACGACGCTCGCCCAGGACGCCCCAGCACATCAACAACCGATGAAAATGTTGAGAAATTGAAGAAAATTGTTATGGAGAATCCTCGAATCACTTTTGAAGAAGTGGATGAGGATGTCGGTTGACTCATGATTATTATGATTATAACGCTAATATCGAATTTCGCGTGCTACGTACATTCAATTAGCATTTTTTAATTTTGTTTTTATGTTATGTTCGCTGTGTTTAAGTTCGCACAGTGCGAACTTAGAGTGGAACATAGCAAACATAGAGCTAGTAACGAGACTTGGGGACAAGGGAGATTACGACCTAGCTCTACCAGTGTCTAGACGATTCCATTCATTACATCTGAACACTGTGCCTGAAAACGTACCTTCCGACTCCGGGAGTTGTACACGCGTCTCGTGAATTAGGACCGTTAGGCAAGAAACGACCACGAATTTATGTTTATTCTAGGCTCAAGAATTGCAGGGAATTTCTGAAGGCCGGCATCAGTCATCGTGAATTCCCTTTACGGTACCACCCGTTTGTTTATAAAATACACCATCCCACTAGAATTAGGTTGATGATAAATAATGAGCGAAGAGGCGGTTTTATATCTGCTGAGAATACTTCTTCAATTAGTCGTTTCGTGTTCTTAATCGGAACCATCGTGAACAAGGAGAGCATGTCGAAGATCACTAGTATGTCTCCATGACCTAACTTCATATCTCTAATCTTTTTGATAAAGTTCCCCGAGTCTATAATAAATGACTCTGTTTTTTCTATGAACGACTGCAGTAAGGTTGTCAAGTATTTGGCCAGCTCATAAGTTGGTAAACCTATCGCATTTACGATAGGCCTAAGTGGCACATTCTCTTTATGGATTTTGGTAAGCCATATAGACGTGTTCTCTCCAAGACTTGATGAACGGTTAAGAAGATTCATTTTTCTTAAAATCCCAGAGGTCGGGTCCCGACTGAGTATTTTATATATCCCTGGGTAAAGTAAGGTGACAATTTTCTCATTATAATTCTTGTTGTTAATCTTGACGGTGGCATTTTCTTTGTCAGCAGGCAATACCAAGATATTGTTATCAGTACCTATTGAGAATTTTTAGCGCTTCTCGTTCCCGTCTTGTTGTGTTGGCCTTGTAGCTGCGGGTCGGTCTTCATTGGAACAACGGAAAGAAGTATAGGTGCCCATCTCTCTGAACATAAGAAAAATTGTTACCTCGGTTAAACCGACAAATCAGTTGTAGCCGAACATGGTCTCACCTTATCTCATTCGAAGATACTCGATCAAAGTCAAAATTACTATTTAAGAATATATATAGAGGAGGAATAGAAATTTAGAAACACATGGATAATTTCAATGGAAAGGAAGACACAATGAACATTAGTGTAATCTGGCATTATCATTATAATACATGGAGAAGGATAAGAATTTGAAACGCTCTTTGTGTTTGCTCCAGAAGGCTTTCGAATTTGTAAAAATGACTTGCTCAATATTTGCCAAATATTCTGTATAACATTCATCAGTAAATATTTGCAACGTTGTCATAAATTAATGAACTTCGTACAGTAAACCATTCTATCTGTAGTCTTATAGGCAGTTTGCGCCAGTTTCTTTTTGATAATACATCTTTTCAATTCGGGTTGGAACCACACAGGAATGGAACTAATTTTTCTGAGTTTGTTAGTAATAAAGAGGGACATCGCTGAATAGACGTCATAAAACTGAAAATCAGCAAAATTGTAATCATCATAACATAAAGAATTCATTCAATCAACTTCTGCCAAGTAATCATTGATAGCAGTGGAGTTTGCTTTTGCATATTCAAAAATAATTTCTTTTATTTGTATGGGAGAATCGGAAATAGAAATGTGAATGTCTAACTTACATGCATTATGAATACTGTTTTGATGTAAAAGATCATTAATCAACTACCTTTGGACTACCTTTTATTTAACTAATAGTCAGATCAGATTCACCTATGTCCTTTCTTCTATCATTCAGTTCAGTGTGGGCGAATTTTAACTGATTCTTTTGGAGTGTAGTTACATCAGCTGAGATGCTATGCCCTTTTTGATATAGAAAACTTTTTTTCTTGAGAATATTTTCACAAACTACACCGAAAATGATTTGATCTTCACAAACTTTATTTTCAAAATTTCAAATGTTTCGCTATCACAGTAGCTTTTTCGTAGTGATTAACATATTATTCACTACGAAAAAGCTACTATGATAACATGTTATTCACTATGAAAAAGCTGCTGTGTTAGCGAAACGTCATGAAATTATCAAAATAAAGTTTGTGAAAAACAAATTGTTTCCGGTGTAGTTTGTGAAATCACTATGGACATTCATCAAGTAACGGCAGAGTCAATCAGGAAATTAGGAATATTTGATATAGTGTTATTGATAATTGTTAAACATTTGTGAAACTTTTTGAAGAACTTCAATGTTTGGGAATTTATTTTCTGGGCTGCTGAAGTAGTCTGGTGAATAGTAAAAAAATATTATTCTCAAGGTCTTGGAACAGTAAAAAGATATTTACTGTAATTTTGCACAATCTTCTTTCCTTTCCCTGAGCAATAACATTTCTACGAACAATAATTAAGATACATGTGATAAAGTTGGCCGATACTTGATGAAAAATCATAACGTAATTAAGTAACACTTTATTGTGAGATATTCAATGAACAACTTACAAAAAAGCAACATGTGTTTTACTATATGAGTACAATAGCTTCCTAAGGTGTAATCATATGTGTTCATGTGAAGAAGCTATTGTGGAGTGAAACACGTGTTGCAGTTTTGTATCCTGTTCAGTAGAAATCTCACAATCAAGTGTTATTTGAATTAATTAAGATATATTACCTCTACAATAGATTTTCTTAAACGTTCCAGCTTTGAATTAGGAAAAGTATGGTTTGTTGTATCATAATCCATCAGTATGATCATATTGTACAATTCTCTTTTGTCCCAAATTGCTCCAGTTTCAGAATTGAGATTATGTCCCAAAGCATTTGCAGATAACCTGAAAATTAACTAATTGAGTTTGACCTGAAAAATATTCTCTGGATTCTGATGTGTACCCAGGTAAAATCAAATCTTCAGGAATATTTATTATTAGTCCTGGATCAAGTAGGAGTCTTGAATCATTGAAATCTTCAGCTTTTCTAATATCTACTACAAGCATATTTTTCACCTTTTTTTTAGCAGATAGTAACTCGGTCGGAGATATAAAATTATCTGAAACATACAAATACGATTCAGGAAAATGAGAATGAAAACAAAACAACTTTTTTTTTCAGAAACATAATGGTAATAATAACAGATTCTCAGTCACAAAATATAGGCTACAACAAATAAGTGTAACTAAGGATGAGTAAACTCTACACATTTGAGTCTTTCAATTTCAAATAAACTAAAAAAAATCTCAATAAGTTACTGAACACACACTCCACCAACAGACTCTACTTGCAATGAATAAAATTATATGATACATTTGGGTGATACTTGATGAAAACCTGTAAAAAGTAATGAGGTAACACATTATTTCGGAATTTCAGTTTACAAAACCGCAACACGTGGTGAAGCTATTATAAAATCTCATAACTACACCTTACAAATTCATATTCACAAATTTTATTTTCAAAATATATATCACATGTTTCGCAATCATAGTAGCTTCTTCGTGGTGAATGACATACTGGAAGTTAATTCTATTATATACTCTAATTTTCATATATCCCAGGTAATCATAAGTGAGAGATACCTATTTAGGTAGTACTTCGATCATAATTACCTAAAGCATCCACTCAACTTTTATACCTATGGTACATCCTCAAATTATGATTACCTAGAGCTTATTATATCAACCCTATATCAATAATACAATGTTGATTTCTAAGAAAACAAGTTCAGTAATGGTGATCTATTTAAATCCAATTGGTCATTCAGTAAAATGGTTGAATTTTTAAGGTTATTAATTTCCGTTGCTTCCAAATAATTAAGCTTTAAACTTTTATTTGCTGAGTATGAAATTTCAAAGTCTCCGTTAAAGATATGATTTCTTTCTAAAAGATGATTTGAATATGTTAACTTGGTTTCTCATTTATATAGCTCATATGATTTTCTTGGATACGATTCCTAAATGTTCTGCCAGTTTGACCAATATATACCTTAGGACAGGTTCCACACTTCAATTTATATACTCCTGATTTCTCGAATATGAATGTTTTTTTCAAATTATTTTTAACTAACTTTCTTAACGTATTACCTGTTCTATATGCAATTTTATCATCTTGTTTATTCAAAAATGAAGCCACTTTTTCTGTTGTTTTATAATTTTGATTATCTGACTTATCAGTAGGAAAAACCTTCCGAATTGCTTTTGCATAACCTTATTTTGGAAAGTATTTTGTTTATTGATGCAGCTTCAAAGTATATGTAATGTAAAGTAAATGTAAGTAAAAATAAATAAAGAGAATAAAGGATTACCATCAATGACTTGAGAAGGTGGCATAAAAGGCTGAACCAAAAAAGCCACAGCTGAACTCAGAATAACTGAACTTTTATTATTTCATCAGTTCGGACTTCCATTGTCTAATATAATATAAATTGATTTGAAATCCCTGAAAAAATTAAAAAGATTAACCGAAAATAACAATTTTATTAAACAAAAANAAATGATTTTTTGATTGTGCATAATTATGTTTTGTGGTGTTTCTATACTGTTATTGACTTTGAACATGATACAATTTGTTTTTCCATCGTTCAGAACTAACTTATTCTCTAAAAAATAATCTTTGAATTGTTCTATTATTTTGCTACCTTTTTTTATAATATCAGGTAAGTTCGCACCTGTTAATAGAAGATTGGTATCATCAGCATAATTGATCATGTGAGCAGTGTTTATATCTGCTATAACCTCATTAATATCGTTGATAAATATAATAAATAATATTGGACCGAGAATACTACCCTGTGGGACACCCATAGACACATCTAAAGCATCAGATCTTGCCGTTTTGTCTTTTTGATTGAGTTCTACTATTTGCTTTCTATTTTTCAAGTATGAATTGAACCAGTCGTACGATTTTCCACGAATTCCATATTTATAGAGTTTCCATAATAAAATGTCATGATCTATGCAATCGAAGGCTTTAGATAAATCCATGAAAACTCCACATGATAGATCTCCTTTGTCCATTGCTTCTAGGACTTCACTGCTGAAATACATCAAAGCAGTTTCAATTTACTTATTTTTTTATATAGCCATGCTGTTCATTAGAAAATATTTTGAAGTTGGTAAAAAATTTTACTAATTGATTGGCCATTGCTATTTCAAAAATTGTGGATATACATGTTAAAAGACTGATTGACCTGAAGTTGGAAATGTCCGGCTTATTCCCTTTTTGTGAAGTGGTTTCACTATCGCTATCTTCAGTTCATTCGGAAAAACTCCTTCCTCAAATGATTTATTGATAAGGAAGGTCAGAATACATACAATCTCATGAACACAGCTTTTCAGTATGTATAATAGTACTTCATCAATACCCGTGCTTCTCTTGTTCTACATTTTGTTAATTATTGAGAGTATCTCATCTACTGTGACAGGGTTCAAGAACAGAGTGTTACTGTAAAAGGCTATAGACCTTTCAAAGACACTCACCTTACCGATATCCTTCTGTGTTGACAAGAGTTTAGGAGTAGATTCGATGAAGTATTTGTTGAAGCTATTGGCTAACTCACATGGATTATTGTATTCAAATTGTACGGTTTGGGATGCAACTGTCACTTCTCTAATAATTTGCCACATTCTTTTGGATTCATTATCAGACTCATAAATTTTATTTCTATAATAGTCATATTTTGCAAATTACAAGTGATTGATGTAGTTCCGCTTTATCTCCTTATATGCAGTTCTATAATCAGGATCAATTGTAGAAATGGATTGATAAAAGTTGGTTTTTCATTTGTGTAATCTCAGGTGAATTGAAAACTTTATGTTCAATAATTTTCTGGTGTTTATGCGTTTTTGGAAAGTGTAGATCAAAGTGAAAATTGAAAGTTTTACTGAAATTTGAGAAAGCTTCTTTTGTATCTTTCGCACTGTATACGTTTGTCCAGTTCTCGGACTTTAGGTTTGTACAAAATTCACTTATTGATTTGGAATCATAATATCGTCTCTGAACTATGGTTGTTGATTGGGTTTTGTTTAAGTCACATAACAACAATTGTCGTGAGTGATCAGATATATGTGTTTCAATAACTATCCCTTTTTTATCACCTTTCGAGATTCGTAATTATGTTATCTAGGCAGGAACTGGAATGAGGAGTAACCCTTATTGGTTTGTTGATTGTTAAAATGGAATTATAAGTAGCTAACAGATTTCTGAAGTCTTTACAGGTATTGCTTGTAAGAGAAAAAGTGTCTATGTTGAAATCACCCGCTATAAAATAAATACAGTTTTTTTTCATATAAAATATCTAACATGCTCTAAAATTTAGTTATAAACAATTTAACTTCACTTGATGGAGACCTGTAAATGCAAACTACATTGAACTTTGTTTCACCAATTTTGCAGGCTGCACTGGAGTACTCAAAAACATAGTTTTCAGCTAAGACTTTCACTTCGTCGAAGGTACTGCTAACAATCTTCTTGGATACATATACAGCTGACCTTCATGTTGGCCTTCTCTTCTGCAATAGCTACACACTTGAATGAGGTCTTTGAAGTTGTAATTCTTTATACCTATCAGGTTGCCAGTGTTCTGTAATGCACACCACTGGACATTTCAGATCTTCAATGACCTTATGCATCATGTTGCTGCTATTTCCTAAACCCTGAATATTTTGATGAATTAGAAATTCTTTTACCTGGGGATATTTTGTGTCTGATTTCCTTCTGAAAAAGTAACAGGCTGGTTTGGATTTATGTTTTTTGTATTTTGGTTCTCCTGAAGTTGATTCGCTCAAAACCTTCTTCATTAGACTCTGTGCAACTCCTATCATTAATGATTGGTTATTACGCCTTGTAATTAGTGTCCGTAGTTTTTTACTTTGATTACATGGTTTTCTGGTACTTGTTCTGTTTGTGCTTCTAATGTTTTTTTATGTTTTCTTCCTTAATATTATCGGATACTTTGGTTATGAATAACCATATCTTTTCGAGTTGATCATCATGTCCATGAAAATTACTATCACCTTCACCACTGCAGATGTTCATTTTATTTCTACGACTTCTATGTGTCACCTCTTGAAAACCTTCAATGTTATTATTATCATCATTCAAATGAATGATATCTGTCATAAATCTCCATTGTTCATTTTCTAGAGCATTTGTTTGATTTTCAGTTTATGGCTTATTTTCAATTTTAGATTCTTTGATTGTGACAACTTGTATGTTGTGGTTTCTCACAATGTCTAATTCATCCATATGTTGTTGAATGTGTTTTTCCTGGTTATTTATTTTGGTTTTTTGGGGATTTGTTTTTCTTTAATGGAATTTTCATGTTTTGTTGGAAGTGTCATACTGTGTTTTATGATTTGGGTTGGTCTGTCTTTAATGAATTTGTCTTCCAGAAATGCAATGTTCTCTTCCAGTAATATAATGACTCGTTCTTTGTCTGCAATGATGGATTCCTTATCAGCAGAGATTTGCCTAAGTATTTTTTTCCTCTCTCAGGAAGTCTTCTTCAGATAAATAAAGTAGGTCATCAGCTCGTTTATCTTGCATTCCGCTTTTTTTGGTCACTAGATTGCTTGAGACTCTTTGGGTGGAAGTAGTCATTAAATTTGATACACTTCACTTTGTTAACTACTTTTTTCGAGCATACAAGTAAAATTTTCGTTTTCTGTAGGAGATGGCGACGAACAACCTGCTCGGACCGCCTTTCTCACATATTTCATTTTGGGAAGGGCAATTTATATTTGGAATACTTCTTTAGTTTAATGAATAAAGTCTTCGAAATATCACCAGATGAGTATACAAATAGAATAGGTTTCCGTGGTTAGAAATTTGAACATCTAAATTTTGTGTTGAAGTTTTACGTTGTTCGACGTTGTGGCTTTGTCTTTGAAGCCAATTTCAAGAAGTAGAAAAGTGTGGCTGTACTGAAAAACACACCTAAAGTGTGTCTCTCAGTACAGTGACTCAGTGTCGTGACTTGACGCTTGTCGCTGGTCTTCCTGGAGGGTAACAATCCCAAATAAGAAACCATGTCAAAAATAAGTGAATGATAGTTAAACGATTTCTTTTTGGCCTGGAAAATAATAATCATATTTTTCACTTTTATAGTAAATTCAGAATCAATTTTGATTTAATGGGAATTCTTGCATCGAATATGATATTGCTATAATTTGTAATCTGAAAAAAGTTTACTGGGATTTGTTGAGTGATTCTTCACTGGATGAATCAGTTTCATTGGGATTAATGACGACTAGAATTATTTTTTCTGATAATGAGTGTATGCGATCATCTAGATCCCACTTCTCTGCTTCGATTCTGATTCTTTTATGGATACATTTTTCCCAAGCTTCTTGATCGACTGTTTCCAGAGCACAGTATAGGCATTTCTTCAATTCACACAGTTAAAAAGTTTTGTTATTCCTTGTGATGAATCCTTTAACTTGAGCCCAAATCAACTCTATTGGATTCAATTTACAGTGATGATGCGGCAACCGAAGAACCGACACTCCTTTAGTCTTCGCCATCCCATTGGTGACATCCCTGACGAATTTTGACTTATGACGTTTAGCCAAGTTGAGGAGCTCCGCTTTCAAGATGTTGATTCGAAAGGAATAGCTTTCATTTGTAACCACTCAGTGATATCTGCCTTCCTTCAACATGATGTCGGCAGCTTCTCAACTTGTCTACTGTGTTAACTTGTGTTATCAATTACTACTACGGATCCCTCTGGAAGTTTAACAAGTATGTTTTCAATCCATTCTTCGAATACAGTGGCATGCAGCTCAATAATTTTCAAACAAGTGGACCAACCTTCCATGAAGACTTGTCTTCCACTTTTGATGTTCTGGAATTGCCAAAACTTTGAGATGGTGCCACCCTCATTGACCCATGTTTCATCCAAATAAAAAATAGATTCACCCAGTGTTCTGGCTCTCTTTATTTCTCTTGAATAGTTTCTTCTCCATTCTCCAATCTCTAATTTTTCTATTAACATGCTGTTTCTACCTTGTTTTGGAAAAGTGAAGTTCAGCTCTTGTAATATCTTCCACAATCTAGTTCTTCTTATATCAGGAAAAAAACTGTCTTCACGAATAACTGACAAAACTTTATTTAATGTGGGTATTTCATGTACTATATTTATATACATGCACTAAGACATATTACTGGAGTTTTTTCCCAACACCAAATCGTTATTTTTACACCTCGACACGTGTTTCGATCACCAAGTGATCATCTTCAAGAGGAAGATAAAACTAATAAATGTAGCAGGCAACTTCCATAATATAAAAACAGGCCAGAGGAAGAATATTCAATTCGGACATCACTTGCAACCTTGATATTCTGGAACATTGAAGAAAGGTTGGAGATTTGACTCTCTTTTATAGATACTTCCACGGGAGGTGTTCAAGTGACTTGGCACATTTGATTTCATCAAGAAGGGTACATATCAGAAATACACGACAGACTGTGGCTGCTCATTGTTCTGAGGTTCAACACAGTGCACCTCGACTTTCACTACTTAAGAACTATTTCATTTGGAGAATTGCGTGTATGTGGAATAAACTTCCTGAGAACCTTTTTCCAAATAAATTTAATCTCCAGCTATTTAAATCCAACGTGAATCGCTACTTTCACCCTGGCACCGCTCTTAGAGCGCCTTAAGGATTTTCCTGTAGTGCTTGTGTTCTGTCTTCAAAAAAAATAATCTCAATGTTGTAATGTTTAAAGTGTTTCCTAATTCGGTCAAGGACAACATCGATCGTTCATTCCACGATCCCCTGTATCAATTGTACTTTCATGACATAAACATCGGCTCATGAATTCAGTGTCACTATTTTGCGGGTTTGAGGGACAAGGTTTTTTAGAATTTCTTCCTGACGATTCGCTGACGTGAGTGGCTATCTTCCTCAGAGATTTATACCTCCTGAGTTAATATCTCCGATGACTGGATATTACGGCTGCGTAAGGCGTATTTATGTTAACTTTTTAGGTGGTTTGGTGTGCTAATACCTCTACCTGGCTTACATAAATAACGTAAAGCCTGTTTATGTTGATTCAGGTAGTCTAGTGTGATAATACCTGTACCTGGATATAGTAAATTGTCACACCTTACTCAGCTGTAATATCCAGTCATCGGAGATAATTCAGGATGTATAAACCTCTGAGGAAGCTAGCCACTCTGCCAGCGAAACGTCAGGAAGAAATTTAAAAAATCCACGACCTTCAAACACAGAAAATCGTGACAGTGAAAACCTCGGCCGCGAGAGCCTTAACAATTCTGGCCTATAAATTGTTTGAAGTGCTGCGAAAATCGGTTATAGCTTTTTTGTTACTTCTTGAACAATAAAGTTACCCTAAAAGTTTTTATACGAATGTTCAATTAATATATCAACTACCTAATATACAGGGTCAACCCAAAAATGTGTCTAGTTCATTTGCTGAATTCATCTTCAATTCTTATAAACGAATAATGAAGTTACATTACCTATAAACATAGGTGCGTCACTATAATATTCATTACTAACACAGGAGACGATATACGAACTAGGGGAGGTATTTGCAGAAGAGTCTGCATGTTGTTCACTCTCTAATGAATTACTTTCTGTTTTACATTCTTGTCCATGTGCTAACGTGGCCTCCGTTTTATATCTGGAAAAAAAATGAAATTAAAAAACGTGGAATTGAAAACCAAGAACAATAATTAGGCAGTTTATTACGAGTGCAAATCAAATATGAACATGACTTCTACTTTAAGATTTATTGAAGTAAATAAAATTTTGATCACACCTCATTTGTCTATGTAATTTCCCCTCATATTGGCATATTTTTCACACCAAACCAGAATTTTATTGATTTCGTTATCGAAGAATGATGTGGTTGCATCTGTAACCAATTGTGCACGAACGTTTCTACAACATTGTCATCGTCATCATAAAGATAACCTCGCAGTTCTTCTTTGAGTAGGCCAAACAAATATGTAGTAGTTACACTAGAGTGACTGAATGTTATTTCGATAATAGGCCACTTTCATTTCAACAAGCAGTTAGCAGTAGTAAACAGCAATAACTGTGCGCCGTTCACGGAGTAAAACAACGAGCAATATGTCTCTTGGTGGAATCAAAAGTGGCCAAGTCACTTGAACATTTTCCGTGAAAGTATCAATAGAAGAGAGAAAAATCTCCAACCTTTCTTCGGTGTTCCAGACTATCAAGTGGCATGTAATTTTCGCGTCTCCAATCAGGCGGATGGCTCTTTTCTAGATGGAATCAAGTAGCTTCAGGGTACGCTTAGGGGCGGAGCTCCATACATGAGAACAATACTTCAAAAAAGGTCTCATCTGAGCTTTATGAGACATCAAAAGTTGCTGAGGTGTGTACAGTCTTCTGGTTTGGAACAGTGTTCCAAGCTTTTGAGAAGCAGCCTTCGCATTTCCAGCCACCTGATTCTGCCAAGACATATTGGTGCCCATTCAACCTCCAACAAACTTATCGAAGCAGAAAGCAGAATTGTCTGTCCTAACATTATTATATCCGGTTTGGAGACATTTATCTTTTTGAAGAAAACCAATGCCTGGGTTTCCTTGGCATTGAATTGAACACCTGTGAAAGTATCTATGAAAGAGAGCATTAACAAGAAAATTCCAGTTCATATTTAGTTCGTTCATGTATATTGTTTTGTTCTGTACAATGCCTAATTGTCTAGAACTATGTTGTAGGAATTACGCCATACAACTTTTGACTCACCACAGGGTATAGTCAATGGTTTTGCAACTTTTTCTAGTAGTGTTTTTTCTCAATCAAACAGCAGAACTCTCCTAATGTATCAAATGAAAATATAACTATCTCATTTCTGACCAAAGGAAATATCAAATCGGTTCTTAGAAGACTACCTATTAAAATAACATCCAGAATAAATTTTATCCCTAGTTTTTCATAAGAAACTGTGCACAAACTTATGCTTCTATAGCCAAAACTATCAATGCGATTTTGAAACAATCTCACTTTCCTTACCATTGGAAACGAGCAAAGATTCATCCAATTCTCAAATTGGGTAACCCTGAGTGTATTGAAAACTATCTCTATATTTTATGCAATTTCGCGAAGGGCTTCTAGAAGTCTGTGTATTACTTGTGCAATCTCTTAGGCAAATCAAAACATGTATTTCCATTAACCGTCACAGTTTTTTGGGAAAGCAATTCACATTAATCAATTTTTGAATAATCAAACAACAGCAATCAGATGTCATGGATACCAAAGGTCAAGTTGACCTTGATTTCGCGAAAGCCTTCGATAGAATTATTCCATTCAATTGAAAAAACAGCCAATATTGGTCTCAACTCTTTCCTTATCCGACCTCCCCATTCATATTTGAATTGTGGAACCAATATATGGTTTTTTACAATGGATTTGCCTCGACGCCATATATTTCAACATCTGGAATACTATAAGTGTCTAACTTGGGACCTTTGCTTTTCCCAATATTTATAAATGATCTAACTTCTTAGCTTTCACGTGGAAATATACTTCTCGCAGACGACCTAAATATCTTTACAACCATTTCTAACTATGACATTTGTGTATATCTACAATCTCAACTAAATATAGAAAACTGGTGTCAACATAATTATCTGAATATGAATATCAAAAAATGTAACGTTTTCTTTTACACTAAAGATGGAACTCAAATTACAAACATCACTCTTGACTGAATAGAAACTAGATTGATATTGCATTTGAATGAAGTGTCATTGACAACTAATTTGTATTACAATATATCCGAAGACGAAATTGTTGGAATCCATCAGGCAGCTTCGTAAGAAAATTTGTGAACCAGTTTTCCTGCCAAGAAAAATCAATGCAAATTGGAAGCAATGAAAAGATAGATTTGATCAAAATTGACAGACAAAACATATATTTCTCAATAATTCTCAAAAAAAGAAAGTAAGACTGGCACCACAGTTTTTAGTGCATATGTTCATGCTTCTTTATATTCACATGTCTCAGGTGGCCTTTTACAATCTGGTGCAGTAGGCACAGACAATTTTATTGAAAAAATGAACAACATTTTGATATTTTCAATTCCTCCGAACTTTCTTGATATGAAGTTTTTAACAGACCTTTAGTTTATAACAGGCCTTCTATGGGTTTGAAACAATAAACATTTTTGACAGATATGCTTTAAAAAAACTTCTCAAGATACACACGAGACGGGAAAAACGTTACCAATAAAATCAATTTTATTGATGGTGATGATTGTCATTTCTGGGACTTTGAGATGTACTGAAAGCTAGAGGTGTTTAAAAACAAGACGTTTGACATTTAGAAAACTTTGGTAAAGTACGCCAGCAATAGGATTTAGCAGCCTATATTACTCTGTTTAAGAAAAATTTTCCTAAATAATTTTGAATTTTTTTTCAAATATGTATGTTATGTAATGCTATTATTTTGTGTCTGATTTCCTTCTGANTTGATTATTTATTAAACGTTCCTTACAATAAAATTTTAACTGATCACTAACTAATGAATCAAAAATTTTTGCAAGTGAAGACGGACTACAGATACTTCGATAATTTTCCACATTTTGTTTATCACCAGATTTAAAAATAGGCCGGATAAAGCTATGTTTTCACAGGTCAGGAAATGAACTAGAATCTAATGAGCACTTGAAAATAAGAAATATGGGATGTGTTAAGGTACAGATACATTTTTTGAAAAAATACTATATAACTGTCAGGTTGAAGATTGTTTTCAAATTACACCTTGGATGTGGGTACAGCAATGGAATCCATGGTTACAATACATTTAGTTTTACACATTTCAATATTTGAACAGACTACTTTTTTTCGTATATAATGTGAACCGTCAACATTTCATTATCAATATCAATGGATTGATGATAATCAGAAAAATCTTTAGTGAAGTTTTTTCAAAACGGTATGTTTCTCATGATTATAACAACATAATGTATTGGTACAAACTTTTACATTTCCTAGTTTATTATTATCATTATCCTTGTTTTCAAAATAGAACTAACCTTTTTCTCAAGCTGACTTTCAAATTGGTAACAATTTTTTTTGCTTTTTGGTAGTCAGCAATAAACATGGATCTGGTGAAATTTGGATCATCAGCTACTTTCAATACATGATCTATCAAGTTAATATAACGGCGCCCCAGTATATAGCATCTTTCTTCATTATTTTGACTCTGAAGTATTTCATCCATCATCCTTCTGGCAAGACTAGAAAACCTGAAAAAGAAATACTGAAAGTGGAAATTTGAGTAACTATCTAGAAATTTACTTGNTATATATATATATATATGTGACATAGCTGGTCCAATTACTTGCTTGTGAATAACTTGTTCAATATCACTGGAGTTTTATCCCAAAACCAAACCGTTATTTTCAACACCTTGACACGTGTTTCAGTCACCAGGTGATCATTTCAAGAAGAAGATTGAACTCATTTTAATCACTTGCTAATTGAAACACGTGTCGAAGTGTTGAAAATAAAACAGTTTGGTGTTGGGATAAAACTCTAGTAATATTCATTACTACACCAAAGGTTTCAAACAGTGCATTACAAACAACTTGTGATCGACACTAAGCTTCGAGTTCCGTGCAATGAGCGGATACGTGCGTTTTACCGCCGCACCCGCTCGTCGGATCGCCAAGCTCCAATGTTCCTGAAGATTCAAGCACCTATCTAGGAAAAGTTCGATAGCTCAGGTAGGATAAAAGAATCTAAATCACAAATAAGCGCATGCCTACCAACGACATTTTCACGACAAATCCCTCTATCCAAACTCTATCGAAGGCTTTCTGGATGTTCAATAGGACCATAACCGTATTCTTCCCTGTTTGGAAGATTCCTTCACCCCGTGAACAAACCGGATCAGTTGGGTAGTCGTATTCCGACCTCGCTGGAACCTGAATTTCTCCTCGAGAGTGAGCTTCATCCTATTTTCCAGCCGAAAAAGTCTACCGAACTGAATGGCGAGATCAGGCGATAGCTATCTATGAGAGATTTAGGTATTCCAGTCTTATGGATGGGAACCACCTCCGCATGCTTCAGACAATCCGGATAATGTTGATGTCTAAATAATCGCGTTAATGATGTGTACTAGTTGTACGAGACCCTTTCGCGCAAATTACGCTGTAGAACTCTCTCAATCTCACCAATACCTGGGGCTCTGTTCTGCCCCAGGCGCTTGTTAGTCGCAATCACCTCCTCAACATCTCTGATCTACTTGAGTAGAGTCGGTTCCGGTTTACTTTTTATGTCATTGAAAATGTTAGACATTTCTTTGTGGTGGTCACAGTCTTCGGGATTAACCTGGTGAACACTGGTGAAATATTCCCCAAATAACTGAGCCTTTTGATGGTCCGTCACCGCGTACACGTTACCAGGTGGGGATGGACTCGAACTGTTTGTTCAGTCTCTTGGTCATCCTCCACAAAGAGTGGTCGTGCACGTTGAGATTCTCGAGTTTGTCCTTCCACCTTTTGTTGGTAAACTCATTGATGCGCTAGTTGACCTCCGCAGCAAGTCTCAACATTTGATCCTTGCTACGGGGGTCGCGTGTTCTGTGCCACTCCTTGCGCATTCGATGTTTTTGCCTAATGAGTTCAATAACATCAGCCGGAAGAATGTCTCGATCGCCTTTCACTACGATCTTCTTCTAGAAAGTTGTATGTCTAGAACAAACTAACCACAGACCTTGTCCTTGTCCTTGTCCACTCCTTGCGCATTCGATGTTTTTGCCTAATGAGTTCAACAACATCAGCCGGAAGAATGTGTCGATAGCCTTTCACTACGATCTTCCTCTAGAAAGTTGTATGTCAAGGACAAACTGACCACAGACCTTGTCTGTCTCGCATGGATGTTACAAATCTGTTCAAGGATGTCCTAAACTCCACCCAGTCCGTACTGCTATAGTCGAACTTATACTTTTTAGTATTCGGCCTCGTTCTGTTCAGACTGAATAGCACCGATATAAATAAGGACAATATTTTTTGTAGATTCAGTTTGATCTTCCTCTTGAAGATGATCACTTGGTGATTGAAATACGTGTGGAGGTGTTGAAATAATGGTTTGGTATTGGTATGAAACTTCATAAATATTCAACAATACTCCGTTGAAGCTACGCTGTTAGCGAAACGCGTCTAGAATTATATAAAAATGTTCATGAAAATTGTTTAACTACTATCATGGATATATGAAAGTAGATGTTTCTACACATCTTCGTAACGAGTTCATTTTGGAATTAATGCTTTCTCCCTTCTGCCGTAAGTTTCCCAAATTCTATGAATAATGTTAAACTTTACTATTATTTTCAAAATCTAACAATTCGTCCAATAACGTTGCATTTTCAAATTTTCAAAAATCTCAACAATAACAAAACACATTGATCTGTCACATGTTTTGATAAAACATCTGGATAGAAAGTCAGTTAAGTTAGCATATGTATCGTATCATCAATTCTTAAATGATCCTTCCTTGTTTAATATTTTCTTGTTTTATATATTATTCTATACGTAATATACCACATTGATGACGTCATTACTTTCCTGGTTAACACGAGGATTACTTGCTAGAAATTCCTTGAGCAACGCCGCGGCATGGGTTTAAAAATTTAATCATCGTAGTTCACTTACCTCGTGTACGTTCTTCCATATTGTGTTGGATGAATCAAAATAACAAAAGGCTGGAGTAGCCATAAAAACATATATCTTCCAACATCCTTAAGTTGTGAAGACTTCTTCAAAATATAAACATCATGGAAAACTTATATGGGATTGGTGTTGCCAATAGATACGCTCTATTTCTGGATGATGAATCTGATCCCCTGGAAACGCTTTCTTTGAAAGAGCTGGAGAAGGACTCCAAAAAGAAAAACAAAGTTGCAGAAAAGGAGAACAAAGTGAAGTCTGAACCTTTAAGTAAAGGAAAGACGGCACCAGCTCCAAAAAAAATTATTAAGGATAACAATAGAGATCAGGAAAATAAAAGAGAAGGTGATATTTTATTTATGGTTCAGCCATTCTTTTAGTGTATTAAGCTCCCATGATCATGCATTGAGTTTTCATTTTAATTAATTTTTTTTACTTTCAGATGTTAAATCTTCTCAGAGATCAATTGTTGATAATAAACAGGACCGAGAGAATTACTAAAATTTCATAACTTTTTTTTGATGTGCTCTAAAAATGCTTGCTTGAAACTGCACACTTGGTAACAATTCTCAAAGAACCAGGTAACTCATTGAATTCCATTAGTCCTTCAGAAACTGAGTATTCATTGCTAATCTTGAGTTTGGCTTGGATACATGAAGGCTTATATTTGTTCTTGTGTAGCTTAATTATACAGAAGTGGAGCCCTTCTTGAAATAAAAAGGAAAATTTTCTTGACATTTTCTTGATGAATCATTAACTTTCATTTCCTATTTTGAGTCACTCTAACATAGTCACATTATTCAACTTATTTAGATCCAACTATCATAATTTTTTGCCTTTATTTACATTTGGCACACTAATATATTAAAAAATTCCACAAATTAGTAGCCGTTGGCGATTTTTTATATATTCTGCATAGCTGAATGCATTTGTCTGAAACTTTTCCACCTTAGTTAATGCTAGATCGACAGGGTGTTGAGTATCAGTTACAATATTTGTAATATCTACAGAGTGTATGAAATCAGTAATGGCTAATATATTTTAAACATGGAATGTTTAATCTCTCACAATGAAAATGTGTTGAAATTATACTCGTTCTAGGTAATAATGTCATTTGTGAATGAATCTTATTTTTCTTGAAGGTGGTGTAAGTGTCATAACACCTCTAATTTACCTCATTCAGATATATTCATAATTATATATAATTGAACATTGTTTTGTGATGATTTTTTTCCTATATTTTTAATGAGTAATAGTTGTCTTTGTTAACCTAATCGGTGTGTCCGAATAATCTGTCTTAGTGTAAACTGTTGGAAAATCTCGGAATGTACTGTTTCTTGAAGGTATCTAGAATATAACTGGAATATATCTGCGATTTACATAAAAAATAATCTATCTCAATATGAAAGTTTTGAAAATGTGCACGACCACAACACTAGGCATAAAAATGATTTGAGTAAAAACTACTGCTGTTTAACACATTAAGCGCCAGGCAAAATACTGAAAAACGACGCCCTGGGCCAAGTAGTAATTTCGTCTTGTACTATTATACTATTTTTTTTCGATGTTTTTGCCTAATGAGTTCAATAACATCAGCCGGAAGAATGTCTCGATCGCCTTTCACTACGATCTTCTTCTAGAAAGTTGTATGTCAAGGACAAACTGACCACAGACCTTGTCTGTCTCGCATGGATGTTACAAATCTGTTCAAGGATGTCCTAAACTCCACCCAGTCCGTACTGCTATAGTCGAACTTATACTTTTTAGTATTCGGCCTCGTTCTGTTCAGACTGAATAGCACCGATATAAATAAGGACAATATTTTTTGTAGATTCAGTTTGATCTTCCTCTTGAAGATGATCACTTGGTGATTGAAATACGTGTGGAGGTGTTGAAATAATGGTTTGGTATTGGTATGAAACTTCATAAATATTCAACAATACTCCGTTGAAGCTACGCTGTTAGCGAAACGCGTCTAGAATTATATAAAAATGTTCATGAAAATTGTTTAACTACTATCATGGATATATGAAAGTAGATGTTTCTACACATCTTCGTAACGAGTTCATTTTGGAATTAATGCTTTCTCCCTTCTGCCGTAAGTTTCCCAAATTCTATGAATAATGTTAAACTTTACTATTATTTTCAAAATCTAACAATTCGTCCAATAACGTTGCATTTTCAAATTTTCAAAAATCTCAACAATAACAAAACACATTGATCTGTCACATGTTTTGATAAAACATCTGGATAGAAAGTCAGTTAAGTTAGCATATGTATCGTATCATCAATTCTTAAATGATCCTTCCTTGTTTAATATTTTCTTGTTTTATATATTATTCTATACGTAATATACCACATTGATGACGTCATTACTTTCCTGGTTAACACGAGGATTACTTGCTAGAAATTCCTTGAGCAACGCCGCGGCATGGGTTTAAAAATTTAATCATCGTAGTTCACTTACCTCGTGTACGTTCTTCCATATTGTGTTGGATGAATCAAAATAACAAAAGGCTGGAGTAGCCATAAAAACATATATCTTCCAACATCCTTAAGTTGTGAAGACTTCTTCAAAATATAAACATCATGGAAAACTTATATGGGATTGGTGTTGCCAATAGATACGCTCTATTTCTGGATGATGAATCTGATCCCCTGGAAACGCTTTCTTTGAAAGAGCTGGAGAAGGACTCCAAAAAGAAAAACAAAGTTGCAGAAAAGGAGAACAAAGTGAAGTCTGAACCTTTAAGTAAAGGAAAGACGGCACCAGCTCCAAAAAAAATTATTAAGGATAACAATAGAGATCAGGAAAATAAAAGAGAAGGTGATATTTTATTTATGGTTCAGCCATTCTTTTAGTGTATTAAGCTCCCATGATCATGCATTGAGTTTTCATTTTAATTAATTTTTTTTACTTTCAGATGTTAAATCTTCTCAGAGATCAATTGTTGATAATAAACAGGACCGAGAGAATAGGAGGAAAATTCCCCATTATTTTTATTTCTAGTATTGTAACTGTGTATATCGGACACAACAGAGTAACTATTAATGCCACAAAGTGCCATGTCATGCGTTTTTATAGATCCCATGTACCTTCTACCACTTTTGATTACACCTTGAATGGTCATTGTCTTGGAGTTTCTTAATCAAATAAAAGACATTGGGGTTGTCCCACCTTGAGCTTTAATCTACATATTCCCACGGTTATCCATAAAGCAATGAAAATGCTAGGGTTTATCAAACGGCTAACCCACGAATTCACTGACCCAACTGCTATTAAAGCCCTTTATTGTTCACTGGTCCGTCCACACTTGGAGAATTGTTCTTCTGTCTGGTCCCACATTGTGTGACTTATATTAAGAACATCGAAAATGTCCAACACAACTTCCTCAGATACATAGCATATAAATCGGGTGTTCGTTGCGAGTATGAGTTGCTACTGCAATCTCTGAGCATTTCTACCCTGGAATAAAGGAGGAAACAGACCTGACACCACTTTTCAATATCATTAACGGCAAATTCAGATGTGCTGAACTCATAAAAAAATTATCTACATGTTCAAAACCGCTCAACTCAACAGCAACAAACATTTTATTTACCATTTTATGGTTTGAACCACACATTTAATAGCTGCCATTCCAAGAATTAACGTTGATCTTGAGATATTTAACATATCCTTGCATCATTTTAAAACTCAATTACGGATTACTAGACCAGGGCTGAAGCCTTCAAAAATGGTAAAAAGGAAAAAAAATAATAGTACGATGAAACCTGTTAGAGAAGGAGGGGAATATGATAAAAAGTAAAGGAATAGTAAATTACGGGCGATCTGAGTTCGGGAAGTGGGAGGGGGTGAGTTTTTAAGGGTAAAAAATAGTTTATCTTGATTTCCGGCAAAACTACAAGTCCAATGGAAAAAAGTTGAACGGCAAATTTACACTTTAATTACTCAACAAATGTAAGATTGCATGTTACATTGATAAACGAAAAAATTGCAATCGAAATATATACTTGTGGAAGTTTGCAATGAAATGGAAGATTTTTGTAATGTTTCTTTTGCTACTACAGAGCAACACATTGATTCAAGGGAATATCGAATAAAAAGAGATGTAGCTGATTTACAAATATTACAAAAAATTTTCAACAGGTATGATCCTTTTTCACAGACTGATAACATTATGTTAAATATTTTCTGGAATTATTGGCAGTAATTCTGTAAATTGCCACAAAGCGTACAAAGAAGAAAAAAAATCTTTGCAATCTATTGTTGGAACTAAATTTGACAGTGTAAAATTTAAAAGGATAAATAAAGTCTTGTCTCTAAAAACGGTTCAATCTTCCGTTGAAGTAAAAGGAGATATTATAGCCATCGGTACATTATTGCTATTTTAAAGGATATCGTTTAGATCAACAGTAAAAAAGATATTGAAACTTATTTACAATACAAGCTTGCACTTTTTCCATTGTCACTTTTGACAAAAAATGGCCCCAGGAAAAATGTAAAATCTCAACTCTAGAAATTATTTGTGAGTGTGAATAGACCAACGCATTCTGACGGCATGGTGTATGTCGTCGACGGTGGATTTTTACTGCACAAAATAATTTGGTAGAAGAATGAAACGGTGGAAGAGACCATGAATAAATAATTGCGCTATGTAGAAAAACATTACGCAGCAAGCAGCTATATTGTCTTTGATGGATGGATACCCCGAAATCAAAAAATCAGTTACTGTCACAACAATACCAGCAACTACTTCACCTAAAAGAAGAGAACGTAGTCGTAGAAAAACCTCAGACAATATTCCAGAGTTTGAATATCAAAACCATACAAAAATACCATTTTTGTAAGAAAAAATGTTATCTAACGAGAAAAACAAGGACAAAATAATAAAAACTTTAATGAAAAGATTACAGTCACGAAGGTTTTCCTGTAAACAAGTAGAAGATGCTGATGCTGACCTCAATAGAAATTGNACCCTCTCCCACTTCCCGAACTCAAGTCGCCCGTAATTAATTTTTCCTTTCATTTTCATCATATTTCCCTCCTTTTCTACTGTTATTTTTTTTGGTTTGAAAATTATCGACCCTGGTGTATACTTTGCTTTAATGTTTCAGTGTATAGTTTAAGTTAGTATATGTATGATTTATTGTCGTTCATTGTTTTTTGTCGTTTTATACTCTAAAATTAACCCCTTTTAAACTTTAAATTTGCCCCTTTTAAGCTATTCTTAGTTGCAATTTGTAATTCAGTACCTTATCTGATTTTATTTTAATTACAATTTAACATTGTAATTTATACTACTGGGCTTGCCCATAAATGAATAAATAAGTGAATAAATTAACTGGATTTCTGGAAGGGGGAACTTCCACTGAACAAGCAAACTATATAAACTACTATTTCATTGATTACAATATAAATTGTCAGGTACCAAAATACAATGTGTATCGAAGGAGTGCCTACAAGTTTTTTTTTTACACCAATAACACCCAAAGAAATTTTGTCTATAGTAAGGAAAACTACTGTCAAATCTACACCTGGGTCGGATGATATTGATGGTAGAGCGGTCAGATCAGTTGCAACACTCATTGCTGAACTCCTGTGTTACCTGATAAATAAGTCATTTTCATACGCCCCCCTAAAGTTGAAAAATCCAAAGGAATACCAATTTTTAAGAACAAAGAATCCGCAAATTATATAAAAAAAGATTGATTTGCATCCAAAATCAGATTTCTAAAATTTTTGAGTCAGCATACTGCCAGCGATTAACAAATTACTTGGAATGTTTCAAGCTTATTCCTGATAACATGTTTCAAAGAAAAAAAACATCACAATTGCTGCTTATGAAATTTTTGTACACTGTCTTTTTCACGACCTGAGTCGTGCGTTTGACGCGATCGACCGAGATCTATTGTTGCTTAAATCAGAAGTTGCCAGTGTGCGTGGAGTACCTCATGACTGGGCGATCTGAGCGTACACAAATAACAGTGTATGACAACTCAAAATCACAAGCAAGTGAATCTATCCTTAGGAGTACCCCAAGGCTCAATATTGGGACTCTTGTTCTTCATAATATTTACATCAGACATAAAAAATACTGCAATTACCCTGAACAAATCTTTACTGCATGCTGATCATACAAATATTCTGATGTCGAACACCGACATTGAACAATTAATTGTGAATAGTAATGAAGCCTCTAGTGAGCTTTATGAATATTGTGCTCAGGACGGTCTGCAATTGAATGTGACAAAAACATATTTTATTTCACTAGTTCGGACTTCCATTGTCTATTATATAAAATGATTTGAAATCCCTGAAACAAGTAAAAAAGAATGATTTACATATGAACAGCCTATCCGATATTTCACGCCGAACATTTTCGAACATAGTTGGAATACCATATCCATATCGAAGTTATTAGGATTCGTTTCGACGATTTCAGTGATGAGAGAGTCAACATTAGTTTCCAGCATATTCAAATACAGTTCCTCTGTTGAATTTTGATCTATAAATAGAGGTCCTACAATATGGTTTCCCAATATTTTTGCACAATCGTTATTTCTTTCTGGATATTGAGTATGTGTTTCCCAGAAAACGTGAGGATTGGTGTCACTACACTGAACATTGCCGTTTGAAAAAAATGTACATTCGTTACTAAAACAAATATTGTGGAGATACGTAGGATGCCTTGCAATGGTTTCCATCATGATTCTGTTCTTCGATCAGGGTCATCTTCAGTTAATTGCTGTACCATTTTAATTTCGTATGGATGATACCTATTCCTCTTCAAAAGTCTCCACACAGTAGAAGAAGACACTTCACAAACATTCGCGACGGAATAAGTAGACTGTTCAGGATTTACTGCCATCTCACCAATTATTTGCACTTGCTGTACTTCTGGAATGGACGGATGACCTGGGGGCTTTTCGTTATGTACACTACCGGTAGTTGTGAATTTGGATACAAGTTTCCTCAAATATTTTCTACAGATAGGACGATTTGGAAAACGTTCATTGAAAAGCCTTTCTGTCACGTGAAAGTTACGCGTTGTACCGTAATAAAAAAAAATCGCTTCAATTTTTTCTTCTAATGGACGAGAATTGACCATTTTAGAGATTGTTGACGTGGTACCTTTTTACTAGGAAAGCAGAAAACTGAATAAGAATATTCTATCAGTGATACCTGAAATTGTCAATTGTTCTGAAATTCGTTGAATAAGTGTTTCTGTTTTTTTTTGTTTTGGAATTGAGATACCAGCTCCTGTATTAAATAATAATTTGAAGGTTTTTGTAAGGTGTAGATGTAGAGATTGTTTGGACGGACTTGTGCGTATACTCTCGGGTGTTCTGATGACTGGGATTTCTTTGATAGGGAGACCTACAGGAAAATGGTCGATTTGAAAATCTTGATGATAACCATTGTTTTTAGCTGTATGATTGTTAATTGTTCCTATCTCCATTCGGGTTTGCAGGCCGTCGTAGTTTGGAACTGAATCCTAACGTTTCGCCAGCACGAGTGGCTGGCTTCTTCAGAGGTATATTCATCTTGATGATTCAACGATGACTGGTGATTTCTAGTTCGTAGGTTGTATTTATTTTGACACAGGTAGTCCGCCGCTCTTGTTGATGCGTTGCTATTGGCCGAAGTGTTATTACCTGTTAATGACTTAACTCGAAACGGTTGCACGTGCATTTCTACCGTACATCCCTAGGGTTATAGACGGAATCGGAAAAATCTTAGGGAAGCATAAAACAAAAACAGTGTTCAAGTCCACCAAGAAATTACATCAAAGCCTGAGATCTGCTAAAGACAAAAGAGATTCCCTATCAGCTGCGGGGGTATATCGTATAACATTCACCTGCGGAAAAGTTTATATCGGTACCACCAACAGATCCATGGTACAAGGCTAAGTGAACATCGAAGAAACTGTAAAATAGACAAATTGGCAAAAGCGGAACACGCACTTGGTGAAGGAGATCACACGATACTGTGAAACTACCTCCCCCCGATCATGGATGATAGCACAGTCAACTTGTACGGGAAGCCATAGAAATATATAATCTTACCGAAAACTACAATAGAAAAAAGGAGGTGGTAACACTCAACCGGATTTGAAATCCCATACTAAAAGACGCTAAAGTGACAACCTGCCCAAGGCAATGTTACCTCATTAACAGGTAATAACACTTCGGCCAAAAGCAACGCATCAATAAGAGAGGCGGACTACCTGCGAAAACATAAATACAACCTACGAACTAGAAATCACCAGTCATCGGTGAATCATCAAGATAAATAAACCTCTGAAGAAGTTGGCTAAACCTTAGGATGCAGTTCCAAACTACGATGGCTTTCAAACCCGAATGGAAAATCTCTGCCGCGAAAGTCTTAACCAATTTATCTGATTGTTAATTGGTTAGAGGTCATTTGTGGAATAATTTGCGTCGTCGAATTCACAATTGATATGCTGTAGTCGTATTCTGGATATGAATAATATTCTGTTTCATAATAAGGTTCTTGTTCAATTTCACTAGTTCGGACTTCCATTGTCTATTATATAAAATGATTTGAAATCCCTGAAACAAGTAAAAAAGAATAATTAGAATCCTTTCAAGGAAACGAAAGAATAATAAAAAAAAGGTTTGTTCACACCATTGAACAGGTGTTGTGTTTTAACAAACAAATAATGATTCAAAGCTCACTTGTTTTGTAATTTCACCTAGTGTGAGTGAATGTAGAACACATTAAGATTTAAAAAAAGGAAATCTAATATTCAATCATAATTTGAAAATTGCAGCTCTAGAAGAAGAAAAGAAATTGTTGAATATCTGGAATTCTATCAATTTTATTTGCATTTCAAATTCAATACTGCAGATACAGCCGCCATAGGACGTCATATTGTTGCTATCAATGTAGTGTTACAAGGAGAAAAAGGAAAACAAATGATTATAGCGCTAAAGTCAAATTTCGCGGGCTTCCAACATTTGATAAGCATTTTTTAATTTTTTTAGGTTTGTACACTCGTCTCGAACATATGTTCACAAGTTTCAGCTGTTTAGGATGTTCGTTGGTGAGAGGCATAAAAATAAGAAGTGTTTTGCGTGTTCTGCTATCAAAAAAAAATGTGTCAAAGAATTTGTATCAAATTTTGTGTAAAAAATACAGAATTAAGTGCTCAAAAAAACTTGAAATGTTGACAGTGGCTTATGGTGATTGTAATCTGAGGGAAGTTGCTGAAGATGTCTGCATATTGGTTGACTCATGCCATGCGATATTTTCGGAATTGCTGTTATTGGCAAAAAAAACATCGCATAAGCATCGCTCAGGAATTGTTGAATGACGTCAACGGCGATCCAGATTTGCTTAAAAGGGTCATGAACTGGTGACGAATCGTGTTTACGACATCCAAACCAAAGTCCACTCGTTCCTAATGGAAAAAAATTTTGGTCACTGTTTTCTTCGATTACCGTGGCGTAGTGTATCAGGAGTTCTTGCCACATGGTCGTATGGTCGTCAATAATAGGGAGAAATTATGCGCAGCTTGCGAGAAGCAATATGAAGAAAACGACCGGAATTTTGGGAAAACAATTCATGGGCTTTTGCGTCACGATAATGCACCTGCTCAATCATCTTGGCTTGTTCGTAATTTTTTGTCCAATAACGTCTTGCAACGATAAAAACCGAATCGCTGAGAGAGCTCAAGGACATACCATATCAGAACTGCTTCGAGGATTGGAAAAAACGTTGGCACAAGTGTATTACATCTAAGGGTGACTACTTCGAAGGGGACAAAATATAAATTGATAAAACATTAACAATTTTTTGAGAAAAATTAAAATTCACCTTATTTTTTGAACAAACTGTACATACATATACTCCAGAAAGACCAATAGATAATTGTTCCATAATTGGAATTGAGATGGACCCCCTATACTGTACCAATAGAAATACGATGGAAATTATATTTTGAAAATATAGTTAACATGCAGATGGCAAATAAAACATTAGGTAATTGTCAAATTATTACTTTACTCATCCTCGTCACCAAGTGTGATTTATGTAATTGGAAGTGAAATGAACAATATTCATGCATAATTTGAGTTGTTGATTTTCCAAGAAATCATAGTAGAATACACCATATACCATATGTAGATATTTTAATAAATATTGGTATTGATAAAAAAAAAGAAACGCTGATCATATGAGAAAACACAAGTATATTTTCTTCATTGATAATATAACGGGCGCAATTGGAGGAGAAACGATAGCAATAAGACAAATAACTGAAAGTAAATGTGCAAATAGGGAATAGGGTGTTACACAGGGTATGCACTCTGCCGGTAGCGTAACCTTTACCAAAGGGTCCACTGGTTATCTGAAGGTAATACTAGGTAGCAATCTCCTGAGACTATATACCCAGCTAGTATCACTATTACCAACCCACTTCTATTTTACTCAGTTTAGTAATAAACAAATAAAACACAACGGAGACTTCCACACTTCAGTTTTAACCCTTAATGCCCAGAATTATTTTTTGTGAATTGTTCCCAATTTTATTAAGAAAAAGGTATATAGATGATACAAGCAGCCACAAAAAAATGAAAAATTTTTTTTTTACAATAGTAGCCGAGCTTTGATATGGGTCATTAACGACCCCTTGAGCATTAAACATATATGAAACATAAACATATTCAGACTTGCTAATCATGTATTTCACAAATAAAAAAAATTAAATACAATTCTTTCAGCAGAAAACTAATGAACTTAGTGAGTGTGGTATGTCTCGAAACATTTGTCATGCAGGGGAACGTCACAGCTTTCGCAACATTTCGTAGTTTTGTTTTTACAACCTTGGTATCTTCTTCTGTTTTGTTGGGTGAGGATAATATG